CCTATCAGATGATATCAAGCTTGCTAGCAAAACATTTCATCTTTGGAACGAAATTTCCGGTTGAAAAAAAACGAAAGTACTTATGTGCCAACCCAATACATCAAAATTCAGTGTTAAAGAAAAAAAAGGAGCTCAGGATCAGATAAACATGAGAAACAAAGAGAAGGGATTGAATTCAGAAAGAAAAAACATAAAGGGAACCTGGAGTTTGGTACAGCTGTAGCGCTACAACTAGCGCTTCAGTTGTAGCGCGACTTGGCGCTACATCTGACACGCTGCCTTACTGATAAAAGGACAGTTCATATATTTGGCACATTTTGGGATGTGCCACACATTCTGCTATCATTCATAGTCGGGAAGTTTTGCACTCTTCTACCGATGCATTGAAGGAACACTCTAGTCGTCTTCGTACTGAAGGGGATAGCTATTTCTGTTGTTCCTGTTCCATGATATTTAGTGTTGTTCGCATTGCTATTGGGATTTTAAGAATTGATTTCCTAAATCTGATTATAACTCAGTTGGAACTGGAAATGTTCACTAGCCACAAGTGCCGCGTACCTTTGAGGGCAGCAGAATTTGTACGACCTTCGAGCATCATGGGAAATCCTTACCGAAAAGATTAATACCGGCATGTCTACTTTGGGACCATTCCTGCGATCAAGTACATACTACAGGGGTCGGCGTGTGCATTTGAGAGTGAAAAGGATAGAGGATATACAGGGGGAGGCTGGCAAAAAAGTCACTTTCCTTCATTGACTTTCGAGGCGCTATAAGTTACACTTTATTAAATTCTGATCGGACACCACCATATTAAAGAGCATATTAAATACTATCATGACACTCCGCCACAGCCTTCTGGACGAGCGCCATCGAGAGATTCTGGCACGCGACCGCGATGTGGTGCCTGAGATCAGCGAGATAGTCGATTTCTCCGCCACCGTAGACCACCCTATTGAACTCCGCCCGAACCGGGTAATTGAGGGATTCAGGTCAGGTGACCTACTTGGATATTCCATCTTCTTTAGGTACTCAGCCCCCTTCCATTCCAAGTAGGCGAGAGTTTCTCCAACGCTTCGATTCCATGTGGTGGCACCCAATGCTGTAGCAGTACAAAGTTTCCAAGAAGTACGGCGACGACATGTGAGGAGGATATTCTTCACGAGTTGCTCAATGTAACCGCCAGCGCTCACCTTCAGTCCGGGGTCCACGAAGAAAATATTGGTCTTTCCATTCCAGGTACGTCCGGTCCATACCATCAACCCGCGCCTTGGCGACTGTGGTGAAGATGATGTCCTAGACCGTGGCGACGTTGTCGGAGCTGAGATCATTCAGATCGAGAGTACTGGTCTCCAGGATATCTATCCATGGGAGACTCCATACCAGAAG